CTGTGTCAGAGCTGGAGGGGCTGGGTTGCAAGGGCTGTAGGAATATGGGGACATCTTACCCTCCTCCATCTCAGGTTGCCCCAAAACAGTCTGTTTGGGGCTAACAAACCTTCCCAGGTTATTAGAGCTCTGCCAATGTGCTGCCAATTTGGGCAGACTGGGCCAAGCAAGGTGAACCCAGCTGAGCACCCTCAGGCCCAGGGCAGCAGTCGGCTCTCCCAGGTACACACTTCATCCCAAACCCTGGACCCGTTCCTCTGGCACACCATGTTCCCCAGGATGCCTGTCAGTTCAGAGCCCTTGAGGAGGTGTCAAGGTACAAAGCCTCTGCACAGAGCTGGTGGGGAAATGCAAGCTGCAGGCTGGTTGCCCTCGCTCAGCATCCCTCACCCCCTCCGGGGGAATGGACAGAGCCCAGATTGTTCCTGCACACAGATCACAGCTCTGACTGGTCATCCACCTGGATTAGGTCTGCACTGACACTGTGGTGGCAGCCAGGAGCCGGCCAGCCCACACACTTCCACCCTAATCTCCACTGTCCCTGTCCTCAGCAAGGACAAAGCCATCCGCCAGCACCACGTGTCCCTGGTGCCAGTTCAGTGCTGCTGCCCGACCCCTGGGCACAGCTCACAACCAGCCCAGCCAGCCCCAGGGCTAGAAGGCTGCCTGTTAGTCTGACCATGGCCCCAGGAGTGCAGCAACATGCTGGACCTGCAGCCCAGTGATGTGGGAGACAGGACCATCCCTCCCACAGCCCAGGGATGGCACCATCAGTGTCCTTCCTCAGTGACCCCAGTCCCAGCAGTGGGGAGCAATGCCTGTGCCCCCTTCTCTGCACAATCCCAGCAGTGCAAACCCCTACACACCCACCTCACTGCCGCATGCAGCCGCCACCTCTGACCCACGACCCTCCACTGTCGCCTGTGTCCTCCCTCAAGCCCTCCCCAAGGCCACTGGAGCCAGTCATGGGCCCTCTGCCCGAGGTGCCACTGACTCCCATTCCATAGGCAGCAGCACAGCCACAGGTATGCCAGGAAGCACAGCTTTGGGGACAGTGACCCCAGGCTGAGGCCAGGATCCTCTCAGATAAGGACACTGGAGCCCTCTTACTGCGGCACTGCCAGATGCACCCAGTCCCCCCACTCCCACCCTGGCTGCATATCCTGTCCCAATGGCACACATCCCCAGGAGCAGCAATCCAGAAACCTGCAAGGGAAAGTCAGGCTCTTTCCAGCCACGCTCTTCCCACTGGACCGCCACGACCCGTCTGCAAAGCCCTGGGCAGCCCAACCTCATCCTGCAACGCAGACAGTGGGACAGGCTCCAGAACGGGAGAAAACATGCCCAGACCAGAAGCTCCTGCCACAGCCTGGGCTGCTGCACATATGGGGCTCTGCTTGCAAGGGCAGGCTCACTGCTGCGAGGGGATGGGGAAGAGGTGCCAGCCCCCAGGCGCAGAACCACGGTGCGGGGAGAAGACAAGGGCAGAGCTGGCACAGAGCCTCTGTGGCTCACAGGGATGGAACTCATGACAGGCCTGGGCTCTCACTGAAGTACAAGGCCCTGCACTGTGGAGATGAAACCACAGAACCAGTGCGCTTTGGCCCTGGCAGCCAGACCTGGGACCAGGCACCACAGCATGATGGGGAGCACTGCCAGGAGCAGGCTGATGGTACCTCAGCCCCATCCCCACGCCAGGGGTCCATCAGAGATCCAGGCTGGTGGGACATGCCACTCTCCCAGTGCCCTATGTATGGCAGCTGCCTTGGCCTGACAAGTTCTTTCCCCTGAGATCTGCTCTGAGCCACTTCCATACTGACAGCAGCTGCCTAAGGCAATGCCATGGCCCACCCAGCACGCACACCCTCACTGAGACCCAGCCACAACCCCCACAGTTCACTCCTATGACACAAGTCCCAGAGGGCCCTGAGCACACAGTGCCCATGCAGGGCTCCTTTTGGGTCCCGCTGGCTCCTGCAGCAGCCACCTTCCCACTGCTCCCAGCAGCTGCTCACAGCAAGGTCCTGACACCACAGCCACCAGTTGTGCAATTTCCTCTGGGATTTCAGCCTGCACTTCCTTCCTGGAGAAACAGCTCACTCCCAGCACAGCCACGCACACTGCCCGGTCGCCGGCTGACAGGAGGGAAAGCTGAGAGCTGGGGGGACCTGCTGACACACCTTCTGTCAAGGACAGTTTAGGAGTAAGAACACACAGCTGCTGTCAGACCCCTCTGGGGATAGCTCAGAGGCGCTGCTGCTGTCCCGCTGAACCAAGGCCATGCTGCACTGGGCAGCTTGCTGTGGGGATCAACAGTGGAATCTGGAAGCCTTCCCATCCATCATCGCACAGCACTTCAGTCCAGCTCCTCATGCTAGGATGGGCTTTTCCTCCTTCCCCATGCAGCAGTGTGCCACACTGTGTCACCAGGCGGTCCCAGTGGCAGGGGGAGACCCTGGTTCCACACAGGTAATTGCCACCATCGAGTCAAGGCAGCAGATGCTGGAAGGCCACAGCAAACAGGCACAAACACAGTGGTCCTGCTGCCAAAAAGAGCAGGCCCCAAGCCAGCTCTGGGACTAAGCTCAGCGCCTGCCCAGACCATGTCAGAGAACACTAGTTCAGTGAGAAGAGGGAAGCAGGAGACTTACCGGGCCTAGGTTGAGGAATCCATGCTTCCTGGCCAGCCTGTCAGCCTCCTGGGGTCCTGCAGGGACGAGCACAGCCCAGGTGTTGGTGTAAATATGCTGGGCCAGCACCTCCTGGTCCAGGAGAGTGAGGGCAACCACCAGAGTCCAGAGCAACAGCAGCGAGCAGGGCCTCAGATCCATCAGAGTATCGGGGTTCCTCAAGCTGGGGAGCAGGAGGGTCCCAGGAGCAGGAGGGTCCTGGGAGGAGCAGGTCCAGCAGCCTCCCAGCGTCAGCACTCCGAGGCACACCAGCCTCTCTGCCCTACTGGTCCCAGCTCAGCCCAAGCCCACATGGGGCCAAGCCCACAGAAGCACAGGAACAGACCATCCAGGACAGAAGCACGATCTGCAGAGACAGGACAGAGGTCATGCCCAGGGCACCTTGCCTCAGACCTCGGGAGGGCAGGCTGCACCACGCTGAGACATGGCTCAGCCACTGGGCAAGGGGGCCTGGCACACAGCACCCGCTGCCCCCACGGCACGCTGACAGCGAGTGTGCCTTGGCGGTGTGCCCACACGTCCGCTCCTGCGTGGAGATGCTGTTTACCTTGCCTATTACACAATGTTTGCTTATAAACACAGGGAATTAACCAGGAGGAGAGGAAGGCACCAAAGGAGGGGAGAGGCAAGGCAAGAGAGACTGCTGTGCCTCCTGCTGCCACCACCCCAGCTCCAGCTGGGATGGGACTATCTGGGTGCACAGGTGGGAGCAACTGAGATGGGAGGCCTGCCTCTCTAGTCCCAAGGGGAGACCAAAGGAGATGTCCCCAGGTGCTGTGTCAGAAATCCCAGCAAAATGAGAGACTGGAAGGAGAAAAGTCAAGGGGAGCTCCTGATCTCTAGCAAACCTGCAGGCTCTCATCTCCACAGCCATTGACCAGGCAGTGCCTGGCAGCCATGGCAAGCACTGCACTGCCTGTCACCAGCAGCAGCTCAGCTCTGCCCTTCCTCTGGAGCACAACATGGTGACACCGGTGTGACTCATCCCCACAACCCGGAGGAACCAGGACCAAGAAAAGGGGCACACCGTCACCTCCAGCATGAACCTAGGGACGCTCAGGAACAGCTCACACTTTGTGGGACGGCAAACACAAGAACTTGTAGTGAAAGAGCAGGGAATGACCCACCCAGTGTGAGGGAGCCCACGACATGATGGTGCCAGGGTGAGCTCCACACCCAGAGCTCCAGAGGGACCCTGGAATATTTGGTCACGCTTCAGAGACAGCTGGAAAGGTGAGAGCCGGCAGTGCCCAGAGGAGCCACATCCCCCTCCGTCCAGAAGTGGCCACAGCGAGCTGGCAGCCTGCGGCACTGCCAGAGAGAGCTCCGAGCAGCCGCCGGAGACCCCGCCACAGACAGCGCAGACTGGCACAGCGGGGCTTCCCCATCAGCGACCACACCTCGGCCAGCCCCGGGCCGGACCGCCCCAACAAAGCACCCAGAGCCGCGAGCACCCGCCGGACGCTGTACGGGAGCCCCGGGTGCCAGACTGTCAAGGCCCTCAGCACAGTACGGCACAATGGAAAACTATCTGCCACGGTCCACCAGTGTACGTGCCAATACCTGGCCCCCAGGCCGGGCTATTTCCCCAGCTCGCTGGTCCCGGCGCCAGCAGCCGTCCCGCTCCGGCGGTGTCCGCTGCACGGGGGGACAGTGCGGCCGCCGGGGCAGAGCCCGGATCCCGCGGCGCCTTCCCGCCGGACCCGTGGCCAGGAACCACCGCGTGCTGGGACGGCCCGGCCGCCGCACCCGGCCCGGAGCCGCGCTCCCGGCTCCGCACCGCGGCCCGGCCCGTGCTCGCTGCCCAAGACCCAGCCCCGCACAGGAGCAACCCAGCGGCTCCGGGCAGAGCGGCGGGACCGGGCCTGCACGCACGGGGCGGCTCCAGCGGCGGAGCTCCGGACGGCGGCGGCCGGGCTGGGGCCGGGGCGGGACGCGGCCTGGCTCCCCATCGGTCTCCCGCAGCGGCGGCTCCGGCTGCCCCCGCCGCAGCTCCGAGAGCGGCCTCCCGGCCCCCCACTCGCTCCCGGGGACCGCCGGGCCCGCACATCCCCGCCGGCGGCGCCCTAAGCCCGGGGCTGCCCAGCGGCTGCGGCCCCGCCAGTCGCCCCGGCCCCAGCCCCTCCGCCGCCCGGATCCCGTCCGGCGGGGCCGCCCCAGCTGTCAAACCGCGGTCGCCGGCGGGTCGAGCCACCCCAGGCCGATGCCGGTCCCGCGTCCTTACCGCGCGGCCTGCCCGCTCCGCTCCGTCCCGTCGGCAGCCGGGCCCGTCTGTCGGCGNCACGGCACGGCCCGGCCCGGCCCGGCCGCCGCTCTGCCGGGCGCCGCCGGATGCCGTCACCGCCGCCCGCCCCTCCCGTCCCGTGCTGCATCGCCGGGTCCTGCACGGACCCCCGGCAACCCCTCCGCGCCGCCCGCCAGGGGCACCGCCAGTATCGGGGCCGTTCCCCGTCGCCAGTACTGGGCACGGCCCGGTGCTCTGCACGGCCTCTCCTGCAGCCGAGCATGGGGCTGTCCTTGCCACCCCGGGGTACCCTGTGCCAGCCCAGGCAGAAAAGGCGGATCTGCGCTGTGAGAGCCGTGAAACCCCCATGGGCCCGCGGCAGTGACCGGGGCTGTAAGGGTGCCTGCAGTGAAGAGCACGCAGAAGATGCCCAGTCTCCCACCTGCTGCAGCAAGTGGTGCGCTATGCTGTGACACGGGGCTGGCAGGATGTGAGCCTCGCCAGATTAGCCTGTTCCAGCCGTGGCAGACCCCAAAGCAGAGAGTTCCCCAACCAGGCTGCGGGAATCGCACTTCCCATTAAGTCCGTATTGTGGGGCTGCAACGCCAGGTCGGTGTGCAGCAGCCTGACGGAGAAACTGTCTGGTAAGGAATAACACAGGAAAATCTATTAGCCCTGTTTCAAGAGAGAGACTTCCACCAAGGAGAAAAGGTGAGAAGTGAAACACAGCTTCAGTCATTTGTAAAGAACAGCCCGCTGTGGGCATGGGACCATGTCATTAGCAACACAAATTCAGCAGAACCCAAAGTGACCTGAACCCAAACTGACCTGAATCCTCCACACCTGCGATGAGTCTGGCAGCCCGGGGCAGGAGCAGGTCCTAGTGCTTTTTACAGAGAAAAGGAAGTCACTCAGATACCATGATCGAGATTGTGAAGCATTAGCAATCACACAGGAAACAGTCACCTTGGTAACCGAGATGCTGAGAACAGCCCAGAAAATCTAGCACAGGGCAGGCTGCTGTGCTAAACTGGGTTAGTTCTGCAGGGCAGCACGCTGGCCGCAGGCTGGGCCGACCATGGCAGCCAGCCCCAAGTGCTGCACCACAGACCACCAGCCACAGGAGCTGTGTGCCCCAGGCCCACCTTCAGGGCCACAGTCCTGCCAGCAGGAGAAAGCACCCACCAGACAGGCAGCACTCACCCCAGTGTCACTGCAGCATGCTCAGGAGTCACCTCTGTAGCTGCCAAGCCCAGGCCTGCCCTTGGGGGCACAGGGAGCCAGCTGTGCCCCTTGGGGTTATATGGAGGATGCATGGACAGGGGCAGGTCCAGAGCTGGAGTCTGGACCAGTGGTGGGAGGGAGGATGGGACGCGGGCTGCCTGCCCCACCCATGAACCTTATCTCTGGATGCCTCCTTTGGGCGCTGGCAGCCGTGTCTGGGCAGGTGAGGAGCTGCTGCACAGCCCTGCGACATGCGGTGCTGAGAGGAGCTGACAAAGGGCCCTTGTCACCACGGGCTTATCGCGGTGCTGCGGGGCAGGCAGGCAGGAAGCACCGCGCTCTTACGCAAACCACTGGCCTGGGACCCGCGCTGACCCCACAGCCCTGCCAAAGAAAATGCCTGGGTCGGGAAGCACCTGGCTGCAGGTGGCACAACGCCATGGATGGGGAGGAGACCCTCTGTCCCAGCAGCCCCGGGGCCCAGCTGCAGACGGAGCAGAGAGGGGCCACTAGCATGGATCTGAGCGGCCACTGTGCCCCACTCGCCTCACAGGGTTACTGGGCACCCCTCCCTACCCCCCGCCACGGTGCAGGGAGGGGGTGAAACAAACTGCCACACATCTGCCAGGATCACAAACCCTCCTCTCAGACTTGGGGCCCATGGCTCAGAGGCACCAGTGCAGCCCAGGAGACAGCAGGAGCAGCTGCTCCATGCGGCAGTGCCCAGCAAACTGGCAGCACTACTGCCAGGCAGTCATACTGTCCCATCCTGCGAGGTCTGCCCTGCCAGGATCCCCTGGGGTTCTCACTACGGCCCGCTCTGCCTCCTGTGCCAGCAGAGGTGAGCCCACAGTCCCTCTGCTGTGCTGTCCAGCCTTCTCCCTGCACACATCCTCACACTCTCCCAAAGCTAAGGCTGCAGTCCCTTTCCCTGGAGTCTCTCCAGTCCATCCAGTCTCCACAATGGATACTACCAGCAGGCCCTTTGGTGCCCAGGGAGCTGGGACTGCCGTGGCCCAGGCAGGATCTGTGCTCCACAGGGTCCAGCTGGCTCCAGCAGCTCTATTAATCTCTGACTCCCAGACACAACATCTCACTGTAGCCACATGCAGGGACTCAGGCCCAGCCCAAACACCCTGACCTTGTCCTGCAGCACAGCTGCAGACACAAACAGCAGCTGCTCAAGGTGGGTAACTATCTGCCTTAGGCTTTGTCAGCAGCAGTCATAATGCTGCCAAGGTATCAATCCACAGCCTAATCTGGCTCTGCCCCTGCTCTGGGCTGTGGGACATGCCCTTCCATCACCTGTCCTGTGACAGCACCTTGTCATCACCTGCTGTACAGGTGCAGGGATGCCCTTACCCAGCCTAAGTCCATAAGTTGCCTGTGGCATTTGGGGCGTTCCACACAAGTGACACGTGCAGGAACATCAGGCTGGGAGCCCACCTGCAGCCCAGCAGTAGGAATGCCACGTGCCCATGGGCTTTGGTGGGCTGGGGAGGGGGTGCTCACAAGCATGGACACACAAACCCAGCCCAAAGACCAGCAGGTGTGGCTGGCACAGCACTGAGGGGCAAACTGGCCCATGCTCCAGGCTCACCCATGGAACAGCTGCCAGCCTTCCATGGCCTCACACCACCCCAGGAATGGGGGGCTCAGCCCCGTGAAGTGCCTCTCACCCTGCTGCTGCCCAGCTGCCAACTGCCAAGCACTGCAGGGCCAAGATGTCAGCAGCCACTGCACTGGGGAAAGGGAACATGGGGCAAAGAGACTTCACAGTGAAGGGCGTCTTCCTGCCATGGCCTACAGCACCTGCAGCCACAGAACTGAGCCAGGCTTGAAGGCATTTCCCTGTTTGTCCAGGTCTTTAGTTTGGCTTCACCTGAATGGAACAGTGTCTGCTTTGTGTGCAATCCTCAAGCTTCCTCTTAGCTGTGGCCAACTGTTCCTCCAAGTCCTGTTAAAGCTTATTCTTTGCCACGTGGCACAGGACTCACCAGGTGGGAACACACTGTGACAACCCTCAACAATAACAACATAAACACAGAGTGGGTGCTCTGGTTGTCACCTGGGTGCAAAGGCCAGCAAACCAACGAGCACACAGATCCACTCTTGCTCGTTCCTGGCAGAGGCTGTACGTGCTGTAGGATATAAAGGCACCAATGCCTCAGTTGCTCAGGCAAACCACCAGCTTCAGGGCATCATTTCTGCCTGCAGCAGAAACGGGTCTGTATGGAGGCACTGCAGGGACACCCTTTCCTAGAACGAGAGCAGGGACTGTCAGGATGCCAGGTGCAGGCCACCAGTGCTGCAAGGGACTGGGCCCACCTGCCCCCATGCCTGGGGCAGCCTGCAGCCCAGCCTGATCATGGGCATCCAACTGGATCTGCCCAGCCCAGGCATTTCTATAGGCCAAGGAGTCCTACAGGAGAGAGCCTGCCTCCGTGGTGGCCTTGGAACCTTCTGCAGACCAGGGTGGTACTGCTGCCAAAAATTGGGCCTGCTCTATCCTAGACTGGCTGCAGGAGATGCTGTGAGGGACATATCCCAGCCCAGACCAAGGACACCAAAACAGAAACACTTCCCTGCACTCCCTCACAGATTGTGCTCCACTGCTGACGCACCAATTGGAAAAGCACATGTGCCCTGGCCTTTCCTGGCTGCCAGAGCTGGCCTCACCCCACAGGGCCTCTGCCACACAAGCACGAGAGTACCTGCTCTGCTACTGCCAGTGAACTCTTAAAGCATGGCTCTGCCCCACTGCTTCCTAAATTTCCCTGCCAGCAAGCAGATTTCATGGAAGATAAGAGGGTTTCCTCTTCCTTTCTTCGTAGAAGCCAGCAGAAGGTAGCAGGCAGAAAGTGGCAGACGTGGCTGTAGTGGCTTGTGACGCAGTGTAACCCAACTTAAGAGAAACTATTATCTTTTGCGGCAGGATGCGCGCATAGGGACATCCCGCACCAGCCACTCGCCCGACGCCGTGAAACCTCGCGCTCCTCGGAAGCTGAGACATGCTGACACAGGCAGCACCTGGCTGCTTACGGAAAGCCCCCAAGAGGCAGCCGTGGCCCCAGCCTTTCCCCACTTTACCACACGCAGGCCAGCGGGACTCCCGGGAGCCCCCCGCCTTGCCGTGCAGATCGGCGGGGGCCCTGCCCCAGCGGCAGGAGCCGCGCCTCCCGGCGCTGGCCAGGCCGAGGGCTCCGGGGGCCCGCGGCGGGGCAGGAGCTGTGTGTCCTTGCTGCCCGGGCGGCGGCAGCTGGGCAGCACCGTGGGGCTTGCTGGAGCTGGCTGGCGGCGGGCAGAGCAGGGAGACTGGGGCCACGGCTGGCTCCGGCTGTCGGCAGCAAGGGCGGAGCCCTGCTCTGCCGCGCTGCTGGGAGGAACTGCGCGGCTTCAGCAGCAGCCGCGGCCGCCGAGCCCCCGCGGCCGCCGAGCCCCCGCGGCCGCCGAGGCCCCGCTCTGCCCCGAGCAGCCGCGCTGGCAGCGGGCGCAGCACGCACACACCGGCCGCACGGCGCACCAAAGTGAGCAGCGGTTTTCTCAGGCTGTGCGGGGGCAGTTCGGCACAGGAGTTTGCCAGACGCAGGACGTGCCCCCGGCTCAGCGAGTTACGGTGACCCGGGGCGCGCGGTGCTGGCAGCGGCCGGCTCAGCTGCAGCCCCGCACGGAACAGTGCGCGCAGAGGGCGGGCGAAGCAGGGTCCCAGCGCCCTTTAGACACGGCCGGCGGCGCCAGGCGAGTCGCCCCCGGGCGAGCAGCAGAGCCCTGTCGCGGCGCTGCCCGGTGCCCCCGCCGTGGGATGGCCGCTCGGCCGGTGCCTCGCCCTGACGCCCCGTCGGGGGGAAACCCGCATCGTGCGGGAGGGAACGGAACCTCTCCCGGCCGAAGGCGGATGGCGAAACGATCGGGGACTCCCCCTGCCACCCAGCCGCAGGGCTCGGCGCGGGGTGCGCCGGGCCGAAACGCAGGCACGGGAGAAGGGCCCGAGCCCCGGTCCCCGTCCCCTCGGCAGCGACCCGGGGCCGCGCGTCACTTCCGGCCCCAGCACGGTCCCCGTCCCGGCGGAAGCGGCGGAGGTTCCGGTTCCGGGTGAGCGCTCGAGGCGCCGTTGTCAGCGGCTCCGCTCGGTTCGGCCCGGCCCGGCCCGGCCTCCGCCCGCCGCCACCATGTCGGTCCCCAGCGCCCTCATGAAGCAGCCGCCGATCCAGTCCACGGCGGGCGCCGTGCCCGTCCGCAACGAGAAGGGTGAGCTGGGGGCGCGGGGCTCAGCGGGGTGGCCGGAGGGGCGGCGGGCCGGGGCCGGGGCTGGGGCAGCGGCAGCGGGGGCACGCGGGCGAGACCCCCGCTGACGGCCCGGCGCCCGCAGGCGAGCTGTCCATGGAGAAGGTGAAGGTGAAGCGGTACGTGTCGGGCAAGCGGCCCGACTATGCGCCCATGGAGTCCTCGGAGGAGGAGGACGAGGAGTTCCAATTCATCAAGAAGGCGAAGGAGCAAGAGGTCGAGCCCGAGGAACAAGAGGAGGAACTGGCCAACGACCCCCGGCTGCGGCGCCTGCAGAACCGCATCGCCGAGGACGTGGAGGAGCGGTGAGTGCTGGGTCAGGCCAGAGCTGAGCCCCCTTTGCCTGTCTGGGGCCGGGGCACTGGGACTCTGCTGCGCTACAGGGAGAAACTGCACAGGGCAGGAGCTGGGAACATTGTCCAGGCAGTGCAGGAGTGTTTGTGACTTCTATCCACGCTGCACTGTGCCTGGGGCTGCTTTCCAGCCAGGAGCCAGCCAGGCACAGCCCATGTCCAGCTGTGTTTGTGTGGAGGGTATCAAAAACAGGCACCAAAATAGAAATTAGTGCTGCACGCCGATGCTCAGGGTAGCGAGGAAGGATGGTGTCTCATGAAATGTACTCTGGGCAGCCCATGGCCTCCCAGCTCAGTTGGTGAGGGTGATAAGAGCCTCACCACGTTGCTCATGTGCTCATGCAGGCTGCACTCTGCTGCAGCCCGTGATATTTCCATCTCTGTCATCTGCAGAAAAACACCACTGAGTGCTGTTTGCCTCCCGTGGAGCTGCAGTTGGTTTTGTTTCCAGTAACAAGGAGTCTTCTCATTGGGAACTCCATTCTGCCTTGAAGCATGGACAGGGCAGAGCTGCCAGTGCCCAGCCACTGTGGCCTCCTGAGAGAACGTATCAGTTCTGGCTGTGCTTGGCAGTCCCAGTGCTTACTGTGCCTTGCTAGAAGTGATTTGTGAACAGCCACTTCTCTGCAGCCCCCTCGTGTTCCAAGTGCCGTGCCTTAGCTGGGGTCTCTTGCAGGCTGGCAAGACACCGCAAAATCGTGGAACCTGAAGTGGTTGGAGAAAGCGATTCGGAAGTGGAGGGGGGAGAAGCTTGGCGCCTGGAAAGGGAGGACACCAGTGAAGAGGAAGAGGAAGAGATTGATGATGAGGTGTGTTGGCAAAGCCAGATAATGGGCCTAGGAAAGCTGGAAGGGCACAGGCTGGAACTGCCCTTTGCATGGATATGTGGGCTGTGTGATGTGTCTGGACAAGTGTCACACCTGGCCATGACTTAACTGGTGGGTTACCATCCTCTGGCATGGAACAGGACACTGGGGGAGGCCTCGCCACGTCCAGAGACGCAGGTGCATCTTCTCAAAGCCAACACTCCAGACATGACACGTGTTTCACAGGAGGGAGAGAAGTGGTAGCAGGGCTGGCCTCTGACTGCTCTGTGCTTGTACCCATTAGGAGATCGAGCGTCGGCGTGGGATGATGCGTCAGCGAGCACAGGAGAGGAAAACTGAGGAGATGGAAGTGATGGAATTGGAAGATGAGGGTCGGTCTGGAGAAGAGTCTGAGTCAGAATCTGAGTATGAGGAGTACACGGACAGCGAAGACGAAATGGAGCCACGTCTCAAACCGGTCTTTATTCGCAAGTAGGTGATGGAAGTGCATGGGCTGGCCCTGGATCGTGGTAGTCAGAAGCTGGGGCCCAAGGAGACCTTGCTGCCATGGTCTCTTCTCACTGTGAGGAAACCATTCACTTCCTTGGGGTGGGATGGGATGGTCACAGCCTGGCAGGGCACAGCTATATCAGTTGCATTGGGTTGCTGTGGAGTCTTCCCAGAGCTCTTGGGCAAGAGTGGCAAAAGGACGTGGTAGTCCCCAGAAAGGGGAGACCCCTGAGACTTGACCTGTCCTTGGAGAGGGCAAAGGCTGAAAGCAGCTGCAGTGTGGGAGCCAGCGAGAGGCTGAGCAACTGCACTGGCTCATGGGAGGGCTGAAGGCTGTCATGGCTCTGCTCTCAGGAAGGACCGGATCACAGTCCAGGAGAGAGAAGCAGAAGCTCTGAAGCAGAAGGAGCTGGAGCAGGAGGCAAAGAGGATGGCAGAGGAGAGGCGCAAGTACACGCTTAAGGTGCGGAGGGGTGGGCTGGAGGCTGGAGGGGGCAGGCACTGCAGCAAGCTTAGCTTGGACCTCCCTGCAGATTGTAGAAGAGGAAGCAAAGAAGGAGCTGGAGGAGAACAAACGCTCACTGGCAGCACTGGATGCACTCGATACAGACGATGAGAACGACGAGGAGGAGTACGAGGCCTGGAAAGTCCGTGAGCTGAAGCGTATCAAACGAGACCGTGAAGAACGAGAAGCGTAAGTATTGTCTGGTAGACCAGAGGCTGAGAGCCCACAGGCAGTTAAAGCACCTTTTCCTCAGGCTGCCCTTTGGCAGCAGGGTCCCAGCTGGACTGAATGCCCAGAGCCCCTCCTGCCCGCCCTCGGCGTGCTCCCTAGCAGTAAATGTGTAAGCTGTGAGGTGGTGGCTGGTGACAGCCTCTCCCAGGAGATGCTGTGGGAACACAGGGTCTCAGGAGCTTCTCTCCCACCCAGCATGGAGAAGGAGAAGGCAGAGATCGAGCGTATGCGGAACCTGACAGAGGAGGAGCGCCGCGCTGAGCTCCGGGCCAACGGCAAAGTCATCACCAACAAGGCAGTAAAGGGCAAATACAAATTCCTGCAGAAGTACTACCACCGCGGCGCCTTCTTCATGGTGAGTGTGCTTAGGGCCAGGCCTGGCTGCAGGTGTGAGAGCACAGGGCCACCTTTTCCCTGTGGGGAGCCTCTCCTCTCCCACGGTGCCCTGGGGGTGCCCTGGGACAAGAGCCAACCTTCAGAGGCAGCATGGGGCTGAAGCTGCAGAGCTGTCCCTGTGCTGGTGTTTGGGCTGACAGACCCAGCCAGAACCAAGTCAGCTCTGCATGGGCCACTGGAGAAGCAGCCTGGGGAACAACACTCACATCCCCCACTCCAGCAGGAGTTAATAGGGCTGCAAGTGCTGTGGCAGCCCAGGCAGAGCAGCAATATGACCTTCAGGCAGCTTCCCCCACTGCTGCCAAGACTTGCTGGAACCTTTAAAGGCTGAGCAAGTGTGTCCTCCTGCAGGATGAGGATGAGGAAGTGTACAAGAGGGACTTCAGTGCTCCGACCCTCGAGGACCACTTCAACAAGACCATCCTGCCCAAAGTCATGCAGGTGGGTGTCATGCTGGCAGAGGGTGCCCAGCCCATCTGCCAAGGGGTGGAAGTTCTGGGCAGGGGGGAGGAGCTGGTCCTGCATCCCCCCTGAACAGCTGCTCACAAGTTCCTCTGCTCCCCAGGTCAAGAACTTTGGGCGCTCAGGGCGGACGAAGTACACGCACTTGGTGGACCAGGACACCACCTCCTTTGACTCTGCCTGGGGCCAGGAGAGTGCACAGAACACCAAGTTCTTTAAGCAGAAGGCAGCGGGGGTGCGGGATGTCTTTGAGAGACCCTCGGCCAAGAAACGAAAAACGACCTAAGAGCACGGGCTGGAGGGTCACGTGTGGCTGACGCCGGCAGGAGGGCGCTGCTCTGCCAGAGCCTGGGCAGGACCAGGAGGGACATGTTCCAGGACTCCTGTGGTGGCAAGCCTTTCCCCTGCCTGTACCATGCCTGCCCTGATGAGGTGTCCCACTCCCTGTGCTGAGCAGACCCGATGGGTTCCTTGCCCACACAGAGTGGAGGATGATGGCCTGTGGTGCTGGCCAGGCTGGTGGCCACACTATATCCCAGCAATGGCCACTGTGGAGCCTTGGCAGTGTCTGGCACATGGCAGCACCACCCCTGGCTCCAGCACATCACCTTCTGGAAGAATTACAGGACTTTTGCACCTCTCTGGTCTACAACCCCTTGCTTGTACTGTCCCTGGTGTCAGTCTTGAGCCCTGTTTTGAGGTGGCCAGTGGTGACTATCTCCTCACCATGGTCCTGCAGGGCTTGGCTTTTCTACCTGTGTGGGGTGGGAGGGTTTGATTAAAGATTCGATTTTCTTACACACTCTGCCCCCATTCTTCTTAAAGACATGGCCATCCTGTTCTGCACCTTCCTTGAGGGCCATGGTGAGCCGGGGCAGCACAGGAGGCACCAGCCTGGGCAGGGCATGCATGGTCAGCTGTCACCACTGCCTCAGGCCTGGGCCTGGGCCTGTCCAGCCTGTGCTGCCCCAGGGGCAGAGATTAAAAGAGGGGAGAGCAGCGTGTCTCACTGCTGAGACAGGTCACCTTGTCCTGCTCTAGTCACAGGGGTGCCCAGCTGGCATGGCCACCACACTGCCACATGACTGGGCCCCACTTGTGGGTACCATGCACGCAGGGCCAGGGGCAAGCGCTCAGCACTGCAGACCACAAAGACAGCCCAGTCCCACCAGTGCCTTTATTGGTATGGCAAGAGGCGCATGCCCGGCAGCCCATGGCCTCCCAGCTCAGTTGGTGAGCGTGATAAGAGCCTCCACCACGTTGCCCATGTGCTCGCGCAGGCTGCGCTCCGCTGCGGCCCGTGATATTTCCATCTCTGTCATCTGCAGAAAAACAGGCACAGCCCCGTACAGCATCCGTACAGCAGAGTCCTGCAGGCTGGGCAGGGCACTCGGGACACCCACCCACGGGGACACCCACCCATGGGGACACTGGACTGGCCTCAGGGCAGGCATGCACCGGCCTCCTCCGTGGGTGCAGCTTTGCACCCAGGATTTGGGACATGTCACAGCCTGCTTGGGGTGCTGCTCCTACTCACAATCAGCTCTAGATCCTCCTTCTTGATGGTCACTTTTGCCAGTTCTTTCTCCCTACGAGAAGAGATGGATAAACCTCCGGTGACCAACAGTCCCCGCTGGCACTGCCCCGGTGCTCCCTCGGCCGTGAGGCGGCGGAAGCGACTCCCCGCAGCAGTGTGGGGCCGGGCGGGGGCCGGGCAAGGGCCGGGGTGTCAGACAGGGAAGAGGATGCCTGGGCCGCGTCCCGAGTGGTGGCAAGTTGCAAGACAGGCGCTGCCCCGGAGCGAGCGCGGACTGTTACCTCTCCTGCTTGGCTTTCTGCTCCCGGGACCTCCGGTCTCCGATCACCGACATAGCCTGCCAGAAGGAGCGCGGTCACCCCGCTGCGCGGCACCGGGCGGGTCAGCGCCGCGCCGGCGGCACGGGCACTGGCACCGGCACGGGCACCGGCACGGGGACGGGCGTGCAGGCGCGCTGGTCAGCGCCCGGCTCGGCCCCGCTGCAGGCAGCGCCCGGCCTCCCACCCCGGCCCGGTCCCGTCCCGCCGCCGCACCGTCTCCAGGTTGGAGCTCTGGATCTCCTTCTCCTCCGCGTAGTCCGTGACGCGCTCCAGGTCCGCCGCGCCGCTATCGTGCTTCCGCGGCTTCTCGGCCGCGCGACCGCCCGCCCCATCGCTGCCGCCGCCGGAGCCGTTGGGCTCCGTCTCCAGCTCCAGCTCCACATCGCCCTCCGCCGCCATGCCGCCGCCGCCGCGGCCCGCTTCCGGTCACGTGCGCCGCCAGCGGAGGCGGCGAGAGGCGCGCGCCGCCAGAACCGAGCGCGGGCGGGGCCAGCTCCAGGCCCGGCCCCGCCGAGCGGGCACGGTCCGCGCTCTCGGGGCTCCGGGCAGCTGGGAGCGAGCAGCGCCGGCACTGCCGGGCTTTGCTCGAGAGCAGCGGGCCGCCGGCGCTGCCGAGGCGCGGAGCCGGCCGGGCGGGCGCGGCCCCGCCGCTGCCCGCGAGTGCCCCCTGGCGGTGCAGCGGGATTGCCGGTCGGGAGCCCGCCATGGCTGCCGCCGCCGCACACGGATGGTCGGACGGGGCAGGCCGCAGCGGGGCCCTGGCCGGGTGCCCGGGCGCTGCCGGAGGCGAGAGGCGGCCGAGCTTCCCCGTGCCCCGGTGCCGGGCCGCCCGAGGCCGTACCGCAGCGCGGCCCGCACCGCGGGCACAGGCGGCCCGCCCCCGCCGCTCCCTGCGCGCGCGTCTCGCGTGTCACCCGTGGGGACGGCGCGTCCCTCGGGCCGGGCTGTGTGTGGTAGCGGGGCATCCGTGTCACCGCCGCTGCAGCCGCGGCCCCGGCATCCGCCGCGTCTCAGGGCTCTGCCAGCACAAAGCCCGAGTGGCTGTGGAGCAGCTGAAGGTGATGCCAGCCCCAGCGTAGAGCCCCCTGCATCCCCTTGCTTGTCCGCAGCTCCTGCCCACCTGGGGCATCCTGCTACCCGCTGGACGTGCTTCATGCCATCCCACTACCCAGCGAGGTGCCGGTGTCCCTTAGGTGCCTCTGTGCCCGGGGCTGCTGCCCGCTCCAGTAAACTCCCCATTCCCAGCACCTCCACACAGCTGTATGCTACTGCTCTGGCATCAGGGAGACATCACGTGCAGACCCCAGGTGCCCCTCAGGCAAGCTCATGTCCAGGCCACCTGCCAGGGCCTCGCCTGCCCAAGCAGGGACCGGCGTCTGGGCAGAGATGCCCATGGCCAGGAGTCACTGGACAGTGCCCACTGAGCACCCCAGGGGTGGCTGCCTGGAGGGAACAGCGAGCAGATGGCAGGGCGGGCCGAGCTGACAATCCCCTAATCCCATCAACGCCGCGGGGGCTGAGCAGAGCCGAGCTGGGCCATGGCGGGCACAGCGGTGCGGGGGCACCTCCTGCACCCGCTGCTATTCCAGGTGGGACTTGGGGTCTGGCGGGGCTGGGAGCACAGCTGGGAGCGAGGCTGGGTGGGTAGGGTGTGCTGGGCCAGGCTGGGAGCGGTGCTGGTCCCTGGGATCCCCACTGACCGTGCCCCTCCCCAGCTCTGCTGCGGCTGTCACGGGCTCCGCGTGTCCACGAGCACGCGTATCCTCTACACGCTCCTGCATGTCCTGGCCTCTGCTGTGTGCTGCCTCATGCTGTCCCGCACTGTGGCCCAGGCTATCACGGAGAAGGTGATAGAGGGAACTGGGACACCCAGGGTACCGGGAGTGCTGGGGGTCTCGAGTGTACCATGAATTCTGGGGATACTGGGGTGCCCAGCATGTCAGGGCACCCAGAGGAGCACTGGGCATGCCAGAATTGCCATGGGCATCAGAAGCACTGGGATTCTGAGGATACTGGGATGGTGGGATAGTGACAGGGCTGCTGGGAGTGCCAAGGGGGAAGGGGTTCCAGGGCTCGAAGGGGTTCCAGGGGTACCAGAGATGCAGGATTTGCCTGGCTGCTGGGGTCCCAGCAGTCCCAGGGTACTGAGAAAGGTATTGTGAATGGTGGGAATATCATAAGTTTGGATGTGCTGGATGCCATGGGCACTGGGGGATGGTGGGTGCACACACCAGCAGCCCTGTCCCAACAACCACCGTGCCTGCCAGGTGCCCTTCTCAGTGGTGCTGTGCCAACACCTGCCCGGGGGCACAGACTGCGAGCAGCTGGTGGGCTCCTCGGCCGTGTACCGGGTCTGTTTTGGCACTGCCTGCTTCCACCTGGCACAGGCTGCCCTGCTGCTCAACGTGCGCTCCAGCTCCGACTGCCGTGCGCAGCTCCACAATGGGTGAGGATGGGCCATGGGGCTGGGACAGGGTGTCCTGGGATGGGGCTGCCCTGGGTGGGGCTGTCAGGGGCTCTGTCCTACTGATGTTAACTGCCCTGCAGGTACTGGCTGCTGAAGCTCCTGGTGCTGGTGGGCCTCTGGGCTGCAAGCTTCTTCATCCCTGAGGACAACTTCATCCAAGGTGTGTCCCCCACACTATCTGAGCTGGCACCCTGGGCACCCCTCTTGGCCCCACTTGCCCTGTGCCATCTCTACCTCTGCCCTCTTCCCCCAGCCTGGCACTACACAGGTGTCTGTGGGGGCTTCGCCTTCATCCTCATCCAGCTGGTGCTGATCACAGCCTTTGCACACACCTGGAACAAGAACTGGTGAGTGCTGGGGTGCTGGGTGGGTACCTGCCCACTGCCCCTGCTCATCCACTCTTCTGCAGGCTGACAGGTGCTGCACAGGACAAGCGCTGGTATCTGGCTGTGCTGCTGGCCACGGCCACCTTCTACACCCTTGCCTCTGCCGCCTTCTCCTTCCTCTACAAGTTCTACACCCACCCAGCCGCCTGCCACCTCAACAAAGCACTGCTTGCCATCAATGGCAGCCTCTGTGGCATCATGTCCTTCATCTCCATCACACCGTGTGTGCGGCTCAGTGAGTACCACACAGCACAGCGTGCTGGGGGCTGCCATGCTGCATGGCCAGCTGTGTCCTGGCTGGGGTGACTGTGGGCCCCAGCTCAGGGCCAGCACTTGGGCACTGGAGCAGAACCCAGTTCCCCGGTTCCCACTGGCCCTTCCCATGCTTGGCACAAGGCGTTGGACGGGTGAGTGGCAGGAGGGGACTGCCCAGGGCCCACTCAGAGCCCCACCCACCAGCTCGCATTACTCCAGGAACTCCAGTAACACCTCCATCCCCACTTTCGCAGGGCAGCCGCGGTCAGGGCTGCTGCAGTCCTCAATCATCAGCTGCTATGTGATGTACCTCACCTTCTCTGCACTGTCCAGCCGCCCCCCAGAGAGAGGTGGGTGTCCCTGCCCACCACCAGCAGTCCCCGCCATGATGCATGCCCTTCTCACCTCCACCTCCCTGCAGTGCTGTACAAGGGGCAGAACCTCACTGTCTGCTTCCCGGGGCTCCGGCAGGATGAGCTGCAGACAGAGGACACCACCGTGGCCGTGCTGGGTGCTGCTATCATGTATGCCTGCGTGCTCTTCGCATGGTGCGTGTTCCCTGCCCAGGCACGCTGGGGTGCCAGGGCTGTGCTGAGGGGCGGCAGGACAAGAGCAGGTGGGGCATTGGTGGCTGGACAGGGCCAGCACAGCAGAGCTCCTGTGGCCGGTGGGAATCCATGGGGCAGGCTGGGAGCCTAGCAGAGGGTGATGGGTGCCTGTGTTATGATTTCTGCCTCTCTCCTGGGCACAGCAATGAAGCTTCGTACCTTGCTGAGGTCTTTGGGCCCTTCTGGATGGTCAAAGTCTACAGTTTTGAGTTTAAAGTGAGTATGGATGCAGCTGTGCTCCACATCCTCCTGCTATGGGCACCCCAGACCCACCACCTCAAGGCCCTGTCCCAGTCCCAGAGAGGGGCAGGTCTTTCTAGCCAAGCACAGAGGGCTGCCCACACCACCTGCCATGGCATAAGGCAGGGCTCCGTCTGGCCTTGGTGGCCACGGGGCTGGGCAGTCACCACTCTGCTCTCCCTGCAGAAACCTTCCTGTTGTTTCTGCTGCCCTGAGAAGATGGAAGAGGAGCTGAGAGGTGAGTGGAGTGTCTGTGTGGGAGAATGGGCAGAGCCTGTGTTCCAGCCTGGGAGTGCCATGTCCCCACACTCCCCCAGGCACCGATCAGACATGTGAGCAAGTAGAGGAGAGTGCCAGGGGACAGTTCATCATCCAGGATGAGCAGGACCGGGTGGTCTACAGCTACTCAGCTTTCCACTTTGTCTTCTTCCTTGCCTCGCTCTATGTTATGATGACACTCACCAACTGGTTCAGGTAGGGCTCTGTGCTGCTGCCCAGCCCTCGCTGCCCTCACTCCAAACCTCTGTGCTGGGCCATGATGGCAACACCGAGCTGCCACCTGCTGGGGATGCTGAGGCTCTGTGCCCACAGACCTGCACTGCTCCAGTGGCAGCTGTGCAGCGCAGCAAGCAGGGCTGGAGGGACATGCCCAGGGGCACATGGCCACTGGGACACAGGGTGATCTGGTGGCTGCAGCTGGCACGGGAACCCCCTGTGTTGGCATCCCAGTCCTGCCCTCTCCCACCAGCTATGAGAATGCAGTGCTGGAGACCACCTTCACACATGGCAGCTGGTCAACCTTCTGGGTGAAGGTATCCTCGTGCTGGGCTTGTGTCCTGCTCTACCTGTGGCTGCTGCTGAGCCCCTTCTGCCTCCAAGGCTCCCCACAGCACCAACGCAGCAGTACAGGGCCACGCATCGTGCGGCGCCGACGTGCTCCACAGCGCATCAACGTCTCCACATAGCCCCTGCCAGGACAAACTGCACCCAGGGCTGGTCCCTGCTGTGCCCCGTGCCTGTGCCCTAGCCCTGCTTGGTCCTCCTGGCCTCCCTTACCCCTGTCCCAGGAGACAGCAGCACCTGAGAGCCTGAGGGGAATATGGGAGGTGGATGCTCCCAGGGACACTGGCCCTGTGCTGAGCCAGGGCCACCCAAAGGGCCAGAGCCAGCTGGTGGCAGGAGCTCAGCCCACAGCCTGGTTGCCCTGGCCTCACTGAGTGCACTGGGGGAGCAGGGCTCTGCCCTGGCTGCCACGGTTGTGGTGCATTCACTGTAAATACCTGCTTCAATACATTTTTATATAAAACTCTGAACTGTGCCATTGCCCTGCGCAGCTGCTGCCATGGGGATGGAGGGAGGGGGTGCCAGCCCTGTGGAACACCCCGAGTCAGCAGCACTGCTGCAAGTCCCCACAGGGCCTGGCCCGGGTGGGGGGTTCTGCCAGACCCCCGTGCTGCAGGCAGTGCAGGCTGTCCTCTGGGGAAACAATGCCTTGCTCGTGCCTGCTGCAAGCACAGGCCACTGGGCAGCCTGCCACAGCCACTGGCAGTGCTAGAGAACCCCATGCCACCCTTCTGTCCTGCAGTCGAGCAGCCACAGCCATTGATGCTGGTGGGGCACAAGACGGACCTGCGGCCTGGCGTGGCCAAGGGGGTCCATACAGACCAGAGGCAGCTGGCCATGGTGAGCAGCAGCTCCTCAGGGCCCCCGGGGTAACCAGAGCCCCACTGACACCCGCTGCCAGCCCCAGGCTGCCCGCTCTGCGAAACCAGCGCCAAGGACGGCACCAGCGCGGTGGAAGGCGGCGCTGCATCTGGCTCGGTGAGGAAGCCAGGCTGCCGCGGGACCCGTCGCCGTGCTGCCGGATCGGGCTGACGCCACTATTGCTGCCCTGCAGGGAGGTGGAAAGGCCGATCGGCACCGGCCTTAGCCCCGGGCGGGACCCGCGGCCACGCAGACGGCTCCGCGCTGCTGCCGGACGGGCAGCTACAGCTGGGCCCGCCCCGGCCGTGCCGCAGCGCGGCTCTCCCCCGGTGCGCAGGCCCGGCCGCCATCTCTCCACCGCCGCCCTGCGAGCGGCCCGGAGCCCTGGCTGCGCCCCGGCGCCATGCCGGCCAGCTCCGCTCCTCGGGCCTCCCAGCCCTCCCAGCCGCCCCGGGGCGCCCGGCCCTCAGCCCCCGCGCCGATCCCCGCTGCTGCCCCAAGGACCGCCCAGGCCCGACCCCACCTTTGTTCCTCACCGTCAAGATGCCGCCGCTTGACTCTGCCACGGCCGCGCTCGGTCCTTCTCGCCGCGGACGCGATTGCTCCGCCGGTAATACCCATGCTCGCCCACCCCCCGCCCGGCGCACGGACGAGCAGACGCAGCGTGCAGGGCTCCACAGCTACTTTAATAGGGGACGGCGCCGCAGGGCGCGGGGCGATGCCGGGGGTCCCGGCGGGACCCGGCCTGGGGCGGCGCGGGGCATCCTGCCGGCGGGACCGGCCCTGGGGCGGCAGCCCGGCGCGGCCGCCCGCTACTTGTTGCCCTCCTTCTTCTCGTCGGCCTTCTTCTGCTTCTGCTGCATGATCTCCGAGTCCCTGCGGGGAGCGCGGCGGGGCTGGCGGCGGGGCCGGCACCGCCGCGGGGCGGGAGCAGGGAGCGGGGCAGGGGAAGCCGGCGGGCCGGCCCGGCGCTCACCTCTGCTTGCGGGCGGCAGCCGAGAGCCCGTCGTCCCGCCGCTTGCCCTTGCCCGAGTCGCTCTGCTTCTTCAGGTTCTTCTGCCGCGCCAGTTCGCGCTGGTTCCCGCCTGCCACAGCGCGGCCGCCTCAGCGCAGCCCGGGCCCGCTGACGGGCCGCGGCGCCACCCCCAAACCCCGGTCCGACCACTGCCCGCAGGCTGGGTCGCGGCGCGCCGGCGGACCACGGCATGGCCCCTGACCCCGGCTCCACCGCGCTGCTGGGTCCCAGAGCAGCCTCCCACCACACTCGCCAGCCCCAGCCCCCTTTCCTTCCTTCCCCCCGACTCACGGGTCATGGCGCCGCTCCCTCCCACCTCCACTCCACCGCCACGTCCCGCACTGACCCCCCCTGCGCCCCGCCCCGCGCCGCGCTTTAAGGGACGCCACAGCCAATCATTGCGCCGATCCATCCCCCGCTGCACTCCCATTGGCGCGTCTCTCCGGCAAGGCCCCGCCTGATTGGCCGCGGGCTATGGCCTCCCTTCTGCCGGCGGGGGCGAAAAAGCCGGAAGGTTGGGCGCACGCGCCGCAGCCGCCTCCGCGCGACAGGATGCGGGGCGAGGGGAACCGCCCCCCGCCGTGACGTCATGAGGCGTGCGGGAGCGCTGCCAGGGGAGAGCGGTGCGGGACGGGAGCGGTGCGGGACGGAGGCCGGGGCGCCGCCCCGCCCCTGCCCCAGGGAGTGTGGGGCGATGTGGGGAGGACGGTATGAGAGCTCTTCTATCTCCTTGGTCAGGCTCTGGGGCGCTGCGGGGCTGCTCAGATCGCTCCTTCCGCCGAGGGCGGTGGGGGGGATCTACAGGGAGGGACGGCTGTAAGCGCTATCCGTGCCAAGAGGGTGCGGGACGAGCACCCGTCCCTGCACAGCCCAGTTCGCCTACGCACGCGGGGCTCGGCGGCGGCTCCGGGTCGTGGCGGGGATTCTGCGGGCCGGTGCTGGATGGAGGGCTCTGGTGCTTCGCCAGCCGTGAGAGCTCGGTGTGGATCACCTGCGGACGAGGGGCGGCTGCGGTGGGACACCCGACCCACCGATTCCTGCGGGATCCTCTTCCTCCCCGTCGCTCCTAGTACCGGGTGCTGCCCGCCCTCGCACCCCGCCTCCCACACCTTGTTGGCCGGGTCCAGCTCCAGCGCTCTCTTCAGGACGAGCGCCGCCTCTGCGTCCCGGCCCTGCTCTGCCAGCAGCTGCGGGGAGAGGAGCGGAGGGTGGCTGGACGGCCGGGCCGAGGGGAGCGGGGCCGTGCGCGGCGACGCGAGTCCCACCTGCCCGCGCCGGAGCAGCGCCCGGCCGTTGTCGGGGCTGATCCGCAGGGCCGCCTCGCAGGCCGCCAGCGCCTCCTCCGCCCGCCCCAGCTTCAGCTCGGCGGCCGCGCAGTTGTTGAGGCACTTCACGCGCTGCTCCCGCAACTCCTCTTCCTCCTCGGGCCCGGGCGGAGCTGCGGGGCGAGTGGCGGCCTCAGCGCCCCAGCCCCGCAGCCCAGGGCCCTCTCTCCCGTCCGGTCTCACCGGCGGCGGGGCCGTCCAGGGCGAGCAGGGACAGCCGGTACGATCGCAGCGCCGCGGCGAAGTCACCCCGCGCGAAGTGGAAGTTGCCCCGCTCCCGGCGCTGCGAGCCCAGGCGCAGGCGGACGGCGGGCGGCAGCGGCTGCGGGTCGGGGCCGTCCCGCACCTCTAGCAGCGTCACCTCGAACAGCAGCGGCGCCTCGGGCGGCACGTCGGGCTCCCTGCTGGTACAGCGCCAGCTGCCCGCGACCCCTGCCCGCCCCGGTCTCCTGCCCGGCCGGCCCCACCGGCTCTGGTCCTTCTGTCCTCGCCTGTCCCTCTTGTCTGCTCGCCCCGGTCCCCTGCCCGGCTGGCCCCACCGGCTCTGGTCCTTCTGTCCTCGCCTGTCCCTCTTGTCTGCCCGTCCCGGTCCGGCTGCCCTCCCGTCCCCTGCCTGCTCCATTCCCCCGCCTGCTCGGTCTCCCTGCCCGCCCGCCCTACCTGCCCGGGCGACCGTAGGCGTAGGGGAAAGCGGCGAGGAAGAAGGAAACCTCCCCGGGCTGCATGGTGGGGACGCCCAGCTCCAGAGCCTGTGGACGGGCACGGCGGGGCTGGCGGGTCGGAGCCCGGGGCGGCGCTGAGCCCGCTCGGCACTGAACCGCGCACCGGTTCGGGCTCACCTGCACGACGTCCCCGTGACCCGGCACGAAGATGAGCCGCGGGTCCCGCTCCACCAGCCCGCCGTCCTCCAGGGCGCCCAGCACCTTCACCGACACCTCCTGGCCCGGCAAGGGCCGCGGCCCGCCCGGCCCGGCCCGCACCACGCGCTTCCGCAGCAGCCGGTCCTCTGCGGGGGAGGAGGCGCTGACAGCCAAGCCGGTGTCCCGAAACTGGCACGCCTTGCTCGACTCTCCCCGGTACCGGCCCTGAGACCGCCCGTCGGCGCTCACCCGTCAAGTCGCTCCAACCGTCGGAAGCGAAGAGCGGCCCGAAGCCGCCGGGCCCCGGCACTGCCAGCGCCTCCAGCCGCCGGTAGAAGAGCCGCTCCTCCTCGCGCACCGACGGCACCGCGATGGCGGTGTGGGGCAGCCGGAACCGCACCCGCCCGCCCCCCCCCCCGCCGGTCCCGGCCAGGCCCCCGCGGCCGCCCGCCGGCCTCTGTTTCCCTCTCCGGGGACCCGCCGGGCGACGGGCCGGGCATGTCCGCCCCCGGCCCTCCTCACCACCCGCCGCTACCTGCTGGCCTCGGTCCGCGTCCGCCCGGGGCTCGGCGGCGGGTGCCCACGGCCCCCCGCCCGCACCGGGCGTGCCGCCGCCGGCCCCGCCGCGCCGCGACTGCCGGGGGTTGCCCGGGCCGGGGACACCGCGGAGCGCATGCCGCCGCACCGTTACCTAATGCCGGGAAGCGGCTCAGGGGATTAGTCCGGGCCGGCGGCAAAAATAGCCGGCACAGGGCGAGCCTCGCCACGGGGCTCTCGCCACCCGCCCCCGCCCCTCGGGGCCGCCCGCCCGCCGCCGTCGCGCGTCCAGGCAAAGCCGTGGCCGGGCTTCTCCGGTACCGAGGCTGCGGGCCGGGTCTTTGGCTTATCCCAGCTACCAGCAGGAGAAGAATCACTGTGAATATCTATCTCCATCCAAAGATCACATCAAAAGCCTGGTTCTAACCTCCCAAGCAAACTGTTGCTACCGTTCTTTCCTTGCTCATCCGGACCTGTCTTTGAAGCAGTGCCAGCTGCTCCAGCTGCCCTGAAGCACCTGGGGCCAGCTCATTCCCTGCTCCCTGGAGGGCCACGGCTGCATGGGGAGAGGCAGAAACAAAGATCTGATCTTCGGCTAAGGCCTGAGGCAACTCTGAGGGAATGTGTTACTTTGGGTGGGGGCTTCCCCCTTACACAGGACCAGCTCTCCATGCAGGTCTCACTGAAAGAAAGGTCTGTAGCCATCCTGTTTGCCAAGTATTCCAGGCAGCAAATATACAAATCCTTCATCAGATACCTGTTTCTCAATTGAAGCTCAGTACCTTCAGTGCAGTTGCAGCACAGTGAGGGACATCTGGGCAGCGACCAGCACAGCCCTTCCTCATCTGTCCATCCTGCCAGAAAGTTGCCCCAGGCCTGTGCTAACTTCACCCAGGCTGCTCTGAGCAGCTGCAGTGGGCCAAACATGCTGAAGTTTTACCTGTGTTCAGTGCCCCAGCTGCCACCAGGTCAACAGTCACAGAGCAGGGAGCAATGCCAGGATTAGAACCACTTCCCTGGCTCTCCTTGGCTTGATGGAGAGCACTGTCCTGCCCACCAAGGAAGCAGCACTCCAGTTTGGTGTTAGATGGGTAATTGTCAGCTGTCAGTGGAGCTGACTACTCCTACACCAGCTTCAAAGCTCATTTATTGCTGCTGCTGAGCGAGGCCCTTGCCAGCCTGCTCCATGTGCCTGCACTGCTGTGATCCAAGTCACAGAGAGCACCACGTACCTCCGGACTCGTTAGGGCAGCACACAGCAAAGGCACTTGTGACCACAGTTCCCCAGTCCAAAATGTGTATAAATGCAGCACCCAAAGCCCAACACATTGGACAGCTGTTGCTGCTACATTCTGGAGGGGCTTGGGCAGCTGAGGAAAGAGGATAATGGGCTAGAAGCTAAACTCAGTGGCTAGGAGGGCTCACTGTAGGGAACAACTGGAAGCAGGAAGCTGCTGCCTATGAAGAACAGGATCCCATTTCTAGGTCTGATGGGCTTCCCCAGGACAAGGACACTTGGTCTTAAGGGGGTCATTTTATTGTTTCACTTCTCCAAATGTACAAAAAAAATTAGAAAATAACTGTACCCCCACCCCCTCCCAAACCACGAAACAAACCTGGGGAGCCCCACAACAGTGCAGCTAAAAGAGACGGCAGGAAATTAAACATTACTAGATACAGCAGCTGGGGCCCCTCAGCCCACATGGCCACTGGCTCTCCACAGCCCAGAACTGGCCCCAATCTGACCAGTGCTTCCCCAATTCACACAGAGCTCATCCTGACAAGGTGGCAAGTAGGTACTTTACAAATCCTCCTTCACCTTCTTCTTGGATTTCTTGGATTTCTCTTCCTCCTGCAGCACGGGAGTGTTGGTTGCCTCCCGCTTCAGGTAGCTGATGAAGTCACTCACTTCTCTGCCCCCCTGCAGAAAGCAAGTGACAGTCAGGCAGGACCTGTACCCAGCATGGACTTCCCCTCTCCTGAAGGGGGTTCAGGTGCCTGGCAGGAGACCCAGGTGACTGCAAGCAGAGTTCTTCCCAGGGCAAACAACACAAAGTACAATGCTCCCAGCAGGTACCCTCAGGTGTGTTCCCAGGGTAACAGGACACAGTGCCACCCCCAACTCCAAAGAGGCTTAAGTACAATTAGAAAACCTGGATGCTCTTCACTTCTCTATAAAGCATGAAGAACAGCAAAAGTCTCACCTCATACTTCTTTGGACTCTGCTTCTTGCCAGCTGGAGCAAAATAGATGGTGGGGAAACTGGAGAGAGAAGAATCACATGAGCTCCTGAGATGCTCTGATTTCTATCAGACCAGCCCCAACTGAGGGGACTCGCACCCTACACTGCCCTGGTTTAACACGGCACAGCTTCAGTGGCTCTGAGGCACCAGGTGTGGCCTTCAAGAGCCCAGCAGATCTGGCTGAGCTCACAGGTTCAAGTTTGCTAGCTGAACTGCTTTTGGAACAGCAAGCCCAGATTTGTTTTCACACTGCCAGGAACAGAATCTCGGCAGATTCCAAAGCAGCAGGACAGACCTCCAGGCAGAGCCAGGACACCAGAATCCTGGAGAAGCCAGGCAGATCAGTACATTTTGTTTTCACTCTTGACTTATCCACATCAAGCCATTGCCCAGCAGTCACCTAGCTATTGCCTGGCAACCCCCACACCTCTCCCCATGAGGCTCTTTCAGCTCTTCAGTGCTGTGCCTGAAGTCAGACAGAGAGGGCCTCATGCACTGACATGTGCTGTCACAGCAGTCAGACCTACCCTCGGACTTCATAGGGAGAAGGCACATCATTGGCTGTAGCATCCATTTTGGCAATGACGATATTGGGATCTTTGCTGAGCTGTGGGCAGAAAGAACCAATCAGTAACCAATTCCAAAATCCAGGAACCCAGCAGTCAGCATGAACTGGGACAGTGTTATCAGAGGACAGTGCATAGGGAATGCCACTTCACCAACCCCCACTACATGGGAGACTATCATCGTGCAGAGCGAAAAGACCCAAAAAGCAACTTGGGCAGTTGAGGCCAGTCACTGAATCTGGGAATATTCCTGTGCCCTAGCCAGTAACACAGACTAAATATACAGTGTGGTTGCTACCACAGATCCTGCTTCAAGATATCTACACTCCACAAAGGGACTAAAATTTGTAGTCCTCAGGAAGGCACAAATAGGCCCCTTATCACAGAGGCTAGAAAGAACCTGCAGGACCATTTAGTGCTGTAAAATTCTAGTTCACATTTGCAAGAATCTCAGACTTACCTTCTCCCCCAGTTCTTTGTATTTGGGCTCCAGATTCTTGCAGTGGCCGCACCACGGTGCGTAGAACTCTATCAGGACATCTTTGTCTTGTGCATTAACAATTTCATCAAAGTTCTCAGCCACCACCACCTGTAAAGGTTGATCACACCAGTTAGTTCTTTCCAAGTCAGAGATGAGGCAATGACATTACATGCTCCACACACTCCACCCAAGCCTGGGTCTCCCACACCTGCACAGTGAACAGCAGAACCAAACACAGCACTCCTCATCTGCACCATGCAGGTAAAAACCTGCCATAAGTTACCAGCACTACCTCCAAGTGAGGTCTGCAGATGGTGTCCTTGCAGGAATATAAAGCCATTTCTTTTTAATCTCAGCAAGCAATCAGCAGGACTGGCTGAGGCCATCCCCATCACCCCAAAAACATCTGTGAATCCCGTGACCTGCACTCCTGTGTAAGGCTCTCATCAAAAAGCCAAGCCAGGGAATGCTCTTACTCAGGGTAGAATTGCCTGGGAGGGTGAAAGGCAGGAATTATACCAGATCCCAGTGAGGAGATGAACAGGGAAATCCCTGAAACAGTGCAGTCACAACCAACAGGAAGACCATGGCCTGAAGGAGTGAGCACAAACCAAAAGGGCAGGCCTCTGTGTAAGCCCTGGAAATCTGGATGCTGCTGCACTCACAAAGCACATAACTGCTGGGGCCAAGCAGCAGTTACTATGCTGGGAGAAAAAAAACCAGAACCCAAACTGCAAGCTGCATGTCTCCCTCACCTCAGAAAACTGCAGTGGAACAAGGGAGTGAGTAATTCCTCTGTCTATCAGCACAGAGGCCTCTTGAGCTGCCACCATGCCTCACTCCCAGCACTTTGCACAGGCACAGGAAGCTGCTGCTGAGCAGTGTCTGCAGCTATAAGCATCACTCACCTTTACAGGGCCATCATTGCTTTCAGGGACAGGCTCTGATTTCAGGTATTTTTTCAAGTTTCCATCAAAGTAATCTTGCAGGAATCTCTCCAGAGCCTTTCCGTCACGGCTGAAAGAAAAGTGATGTTACAGCCATCATCACACACAGGATGAGAGAGGGAAACTTTCAAGGCTTATTTAAGCTACTTCCACCCACACAACAGATGCCACCTGCATCTCTGACAGCACCAGTCTGGGGCTGGCTTAGTAGACCCCAGAACAAGTGCAGCGATGTCCTTAAGGGCTCTGACAGGCGGCTGGATGCACATCCCATTCAATATTTTAGGCCTTCTAGCATTCTTCAGGTTTTTTTCAAAATGAAAGGTACAATGAATTCTTCTACCCTTTATTGCACCCTGATTCCTAACCAGAATTTCAGGATCTGGAACTGAATTCTCTCCCTTTGTATAACAGGAGGGGCTGCAAGCTTTCTAGAGAGTAGAAAAAAACATGAGCAAGAGTCATTTTGACCCAGCAATTGCTTCTTCCAGCTGCAACAGCCAGCTTTCCTGTTTCCTCAAAGCTAACAAAGTATCATCTGGTCAGAGACCTCTAGACCAAAGTCCATCAAATGAGACCCATTACCATCAAGTTCAAGAACTCACGAGAACTCTTCTTGCATGACATATTTATCTCCTTTGGCAGTTCTGATGGCAACGACGGGGGCCTCACCCACACTGCTGTCCAGACCAAACTCAGAAAGCTCGTGGCCAAAGGTTTTTCGACTAGCAACAGCATAAGACAGTTTGTGGCCAGCATCCAAGAACTTCTTTGCAATCATCATAACTCTGAGGGGAAAAAATAAACAAAACCACAAAGCATTATTTCTTTGAACATGTTCTTCTACATGATGTAACACCCTTCAAGATGACATACACACTGGGCTAGGAATTCAGTGGCACAATGTGCTCTTCAGAGCCAGGTCCTGTAGAAACAGTGCTGAGAAGCAGACCAGCAGACTTGTGTCTGTGTGATCGAGGCAAGTGTTGCGTGTTTCCATCCTCCACCTGCGTGACCCCAGGGTCTCAGGCATGAAGGGCAGAACTGCACACCACAGCAGTGAGGCAGCCTGTGGGTAAGGTCTAGGTTCCTAAGGACCAGGGATCCAAGAGCAATCACACAGGATTTCAGAGGACTGTCACCCAAGCTGTGGAACCGCAGCAAGGCAGGAACAGTGCAAGGCTGATTTACCCCACCACTCCCACCTGTTGCGCCAGTAGTTGGATCCCTTGGCATTCTTCTCATAGTCAACGTCGTAGTATGCCACCAGCAAGTCCTTGCCCTGGATCAAGTCTTTGTTGTCTTCAGTCATGTGAGGGCAGATGCCAAAGCTGTCAACGAGAGAGGAATTAGCAGAGCCCATGACCCCTGAACAGGCCTGACACAGCACACTTGCTTCCCACCCAGGAGTTAAATGCCAGTGATCAATCAGGCCTCAGGAAGAAATGCTTTGCTCATTCCTGTACCAGGTTTTTCTGAGTCAAATCTCCATCTCCTGCCACATCAGTGGCTAGAGCTGACCCAGTTAAGGCCAAAGCTAGCACAGCTCTCACAGGTTCAGTTTTTAAACAGAGTCATGGCTAGAATATGGAGAGTGCATGCCAACAGCCACGTCAGGATTTCAGGAAGGTGTCCCCAAAGGGAAGAAGTGCCAAGACACGCAGCAGAGGTGGCAGCAATGAGAAAACAAGCTCTGACAGGGCCAAAGCCAACTGGGGCCAGTCTGTCACATTTGTTGGTGAGGAATCACTCACATGTTCTCCTGAATGAATTTCTTGATCTTTGCACTGGTGATTTTGTCTTCTGGATACTTGACAGAGCTCTCCTCAAACTTGTTGGTCAGGCGTGGAGGACGGAATAGGACTATACCTCTGTGGGGAAGCAGGTATTGTGAATTAGTTCAAAGTGTCCCTGGGAGTCCAAGGACAGCAGCCAGATGAGGCAAAAACCCACTCTGCAGTGGCAATCACCACTCACCATTCACAGCTCAAACAACACTATCTAGTTTCTTGGTGGCACTAGTGCACTAGGTGTACCTGTCAGAGCCTTCTTCATTATTCAGACAAGCAACAATCAGAAACAAAACTCTCACCATAACAATGAATATCGAAACAAAATGTCTCTGTTGAGACACTTTCCACCCAGAGACACAAACACTTCAGAGACCATTTACAGCTTTCTATCTCAATTCAAAAGAAACATCGCTGTCAGCTGGGAAGAAACCAGACCTTAAGCTATGCTTAGAAACTGAAACCATTTAAGTGGAATCCATGAATTTGTTCCAAATGACTAAATAATAATAATAATAATAATAAATAATAATAAATCTTTGTATTAAGTAACTTACTCTCCATCTTCCTTGTACTTCTGCACCAGCTGCTCCTCGGTGGTGTGCGCAAAGCGGTAGTTATCCCTGAGGCTGTTGGCTGCTTTCATGAACTCCGAGTAAGCATCCCCAGATGCATCACCAAAAAAGCCTGCAGCAGAAAGGCAGACTGTGACCTCAAACCAACCCAGCTCTGGACCCTCTGCAAGTCTCAGCATTTTTCTCTACAATGCACTGGATCAGTCCTGAATCCAGTCCTTCAGTGCATGTTGAGGTGTTTACCTTTGACAGCTTCTCTCCCATTTTTCAAGACCTGCTTGCACCCACCCCCTCCCCCCTTTCCAGGAGCAGAAAAGTTACTCAGGAAAAGCCCAAACTGGTCATTCAGCCAAGGACAATTGTCCCCTGAACACCCAGACATGCACTGGTGATTGTGCAACAATAGTCACTGGCACTTAACAGTAAGTTTAGGAATGCTGGTTAATACTCATGTGGTTATACCTACAAGATGGCACCTGATTTGCACCATCTGCTGTTGCCACATGTAACCACAAACACCCAAGGCCAACAGCCCTCTGATGCCACCAGAGCAACAAACGCACCCAAAGCTACCTGTTGTCAGCCAGCCAAGAAAGCAACAACCTTTGGAAAACATATACTATGGTGCCAGGGGAGCCCACAAAGCCCGATGGCCATGGGAAAAAAAAAAGAAAAAAATTTGGAGAGAATACTCAAAGGTCCTCGAATCCAATCTCCCACTTGAAGAGCAGGACCAGCCCCAGTCAGACTAGATTGCTCAGAGCTTTGTCCAACTAAGTTGTGAAAATCTCCCAGGCTGAACATTTTAAAATCCCTTTGGATACATGTTCTAGAGCTTTATTGTTCTCATGACCAGCAGTGTTTTTGTTCACGTCCATCTGGAATTTCATCTGCTGCAGGCTGTGGTACTGCCTCTGCTCTTTCCACACAAGCTCCCAGAGCCCACTCCTTTCACCTCTACTCACCCACGACAGAAGCATCTTTATCGCCAATGAACTTCTCAAACTCAGCCACAGAACTGAGAGCCACCGAAGCAGGTCCCGCCTGTTTCTTGAGATGGCTGACAATCCCATCTTGAAAGATTAGTAAAATAATTAAAGGCATCAATACCATGTTCCACAAGACATTTTTCAAGCTTCCTAAACCAGAAACTGTTCCTGCAGGATCCATACACATCTCCCATACAGTAAATATGTGAACAGAAGGACTGCTCCCGTTAGCTTCACACAGGAGCTTTCCAGCATCCTGGGAACTAGGATGTTCACCTTCACCTTTAAAGGAGAGCTTTAAACCTTCACCTTTAAAGGAGAGCTTTAAGGGAAAATAAACACCCCAAGCTTAGCTTTGCCAGCACAAAGTGTTCTGGAGAGGGTAAGGGGTTGGTGGGGGGTATGTGTACGTGTGAACCTTCTCTGCATCCCTGGCTGTAACATGCTGCCTCCTGCAACAGCTCAGCAAACCAGATGCTGCCAAACAGTTCTTACCTGCTGTTCTGGGCCCATCATAGGTCCCTGCCTCTTCTCCATCTCGAAAAATCTTTAATGTGGGATATCCACTGACTCCATACTTGTTACAGGTGTTGGAGTTTGCTGTACAGTCAACCTAAAGGAAAAGAAACCTTGCTACTCAGACTGAGATCCAGCCCTAACACACCCATCCCAGACAAGGGACTAGAGGGATGCATCACCATGCCTGGTGCTCAACAGCCCAGACTGGGAAAGAGGTGGCACAGGTATAATGAGACGCCCAGAAAAATATTTGAGAAAATACTGCAAAAACTAAATAGTTTGAAGTTCGACCAGACTACACACCCCAAAAAAATACTAGAAAGGATAGTTTCTTGCAATCAATGACACGGAATTTCTCAGCACCTTGTCAGTCCCAAAGTTTATATAACATTTGAAGAAAACAGGCCGACCCGACCAGGAGGCCATGGTGCCAAGAGTCCATGCCACTAAAGGAAGAGAGAGAGACCCTGATTTGAGAAAACTCTACGAGTTTTGTGCAGAAAAGAAAGCTCCTAGTCAGCGTGCCGCAGTGGGTCCGTGCAGCACGGTGCTCGCTCTCAGCCTCATCACACAGCTCCGAGCAGGCGCATTTCCCCGGCTGGGGCAGCCCTCGCACACCCTCCGCACACCGGCCGCGCGGCTGCGGCCCTGCACGGATCGCCTTCCACATCATTTCAGGCCTCCGAGGCACCAAAGAAACGACGTCCGTCAGGCCTGCAGAGCCGGAATCCGCTCGCTGGCCGCTCCCGGGCGTGCCCCAGCGCGGGAGCCCGTGCTCACCTTCACGAGAGGCACGATCCCCTTCAGCCGGGTCGCGGCCGACTCGTACTCCGGCGCCAGCCGCTTGCAGTGTCCGCACCTGGGGGCACGGAAGGGAGTCAGACCGGCCTGGTGCCCCTCTGGGCCCGCCCCCCGCCCCCCGCGGCCCCTCACCAGGGCGCGAAGAACTCCACGAGCACCAGCCCCGGGCGCTCGGCCAGGCCACTCTCGAAATCGGCATCGCTGAGCTCCACCACGTCGGAAGCGCGAGCGCCGAGGGCGAGCATCAGGAACAGCAGCAGCGCGGCAGGCAGGGCCGGCTGCGGGGGCCGGGGCGCGGACATCGCGGCGGGAGCGGCGGGCGCGGCGCGTCCGGCAGGTCCGGGAGCGGCGGGGCCGGGAGCGGCAGCTGAAGGAGCGCCGGGGCCGCAGCCGGAAGTCCAGCCCCCGCATCCGGATCTGCCGTGTGGCAGCTCCTGATTGGGCGGAACGTCACGGGGCGCATGCCAGCGGGGGCGGGGTCTGCGCGCCGGCCCCGCCCCTCCCATGGCCGCCGGTTCCCGGCGCTGGCGGCGGCGGGCGGGGCTGTGCGCTGGGGCCCGGCCGCGATCCACGGTGCAATCACTTCCCACCGAGCAGTGTCGCGCCGACCACAGCGCCTGCCCTTTCCCCGGCCGGGACCGGGAGCCGCGGAGGCTCCCCGGGGCCGCGCGCTGCCGAGTCCGCTGTCGGTCTCCGGGAGCTGTGCCGAGCTGATGGATGTGCGGTAACCCCACCGTGGCCACCGTGACTGCACGGCGCAGAGCCGGCGCGGCGGTGGCACGTGCCCAGCACATGCCGCACGACAGCGCTGGGCTCGCTGCAGGCTCGCCTGCTGGATTCACCGCAGCCACGCATTTTCACTCATCACCCCTCCCGCTCCGGCCCGGGACAGTGTGGCGTTCTCCTGGCCCCGAGCCGAACCCGGGAGCGGGTCTTTACCCCGTTACCCCATCCCTCGGCATTTGCACCTTCGGCTGCGGTCTGCAGTCAGAAGGAACTCGATCTGTGCCATCCCTGCCAGGGTGCTCGTCCCCAGGTTTGACCAGGCACAGCCTGCTCCCACCTCGCACCACCGTGCCCCGGTCCTGCCAGGCCTGGGGCTGTCCCCGCACAAAACCCCGATTCTCACCCTCCCAGCGCCTTCCTTTGCAGCGCGCCGGGCAGCTCGGGGGGGCCTCGGGGGCAATGCATCAATTGGGGACACGTTCTCGGTTCCCCGTTTCCGCCTCACCATCCGTTCTCCTTAGAGCCCCAGCGGTCCTGCCCTCACCTTGCCATCAGGTCCCTACCGCTGACCGCAGTTTTAGCAACTGCTCCCAGTAACCCCAGAGCTGATGACTGGGGCCAGCCCTCATCAGCTCACCTCCGGCCCGGGGACAGCCGTCCGGGCTGTTTCTGGCGTTTTTGTCACCAATACTGAGCTGCACCAGCCAGTCGGCCCCGGGGCTGCGGGGAGAACCCGCCTGGCGTCTCTGACTTCATCGTCGCCATTGCGGCAAAGGGCCCCGGGCCCGGCCCGCTCCCGGCAGCGCAGTGCGGCCCCGGGGCCGGCAGGGGGCGCTGCCCACCGAGGATCCGCGGCCCCGGGCAGGATCCGCGGCCCCGGGCGGTGTCCGCGGTCCCGGGCGGTGTCCTCCGCCCGTGCCGGGTTCCCGTCATCAGTAATGCATCCTTTGCGGTGATGGGGCTGGCGCCGGCCCCGGAACAGCGCCCAGAACCGAGGCCAGCGGCAGTCGGCTCCGTCGCGCCGTGGGCGTCCCGCCCCGGCGGCACGAGCGGGGTGAGCAGGCAGGGACCGGGCAGGGTCCCGTGCTGGGAAGTATCAGGTGTGTCACGCCTTGTCTCGGCGGTCTGTGGGACGGGGGTCTCTGGGGCTGCCAGTGTCGAATGAAGGCTGGTAGCCGTAGCGGCGGGAGCTGGAGCCGGGCTCCGGGGCCGAACTGCGGGACTTGCCGGAGCGAGCCCTGCGGCACCTCGTCTATCTCCCTCTCGCTCGCTCCTGCTGCCCACAAGACGCGGGTATGGCTGCTTTCCTTGCCAGCCCGGGAATGCTGCTTCTGCTGGTGCTGCGGGACCCCAACCCCAGAGAGCGAGCCCGGGCTCGCGGGTGGGTGCGTGCTCGAGGGCCGGTTCTGCTCCCTCAGCTCTAGAGCCGTTCCTCGCTACTGCGCGGGCCCAGGGAACGACCCCCAGGACTGACACCCGCTCCTGGCACCGGCTGGTGCACGGGCTCTGCTCAGCCACCAGTGGCTGGGAGCGGCCAGCCCCCGGCTGGGGGTCAGAGCTGTGGCTCAGACTCCCCTTTGTCCCTGTGTCCTTACCCTTGTAGCAAGTCTGCCACCAACCCGCTGCGGGACGTTGAGCAAGGAGCTCTGAGGGAAGGTGTGGATAGCACTGGCAGTGCAATATTGTTCTTTCCTGCAGCCTGTGCTCCAGGACCTGTTCCAGGATAGTGAAGGTGCTCCTGCCTTCGAGCTCCTGCACTGCCCATCCGAGGCACTGCCCATCCTGGATAGGCTGGCTGCAGCCCATCCAGGATCCTGAGGAGCATGGGCCCCACTGCCTGGGTGCTCAAGACACATTTCCCACCTCCCAAATGAAGGAGTACCTTCATTTGCCACAGGAGACCTTCCAGAGTGTGCTGCTCAGTGTGGGACCTGAGGCCATGCAGTGCTTCCTGGCCCTGCTGCACTGCTCCTGATACCAGCTGGGAGTGGCTGGGGTGGATGGGATGGGGCAGGGGGTTCAGAGCCCATGTGTGGTGACTGTGAAGCCTTGTGATGGGGGGGGAAATCTGAGTGATGCCTCTGCAGTGGGACAGGGCACTGGAAGGTCAGTGGGGTGGTGAGTACTGGGGTAAGAAGAAGCCTGAGCCACGGCTACAGCAGCGCGAGTTTATGGGGTCTGACCTGACGCATTGTGGGTTACAGGATGCAGCGACATGCTGGGCACAGAGATCGCACAAGCTACAGGGGGACCTGGCTCCCACAGCGCTGGCGCTGCCGTGGTCGCACTCAGTGCCGGAACTGCGGCAGCGGCGAGGGGATGCGGATGTCCTGCCCCTTCTCCAGCCGCCGCTCACAGTCGATCAGGTAGTTCACACCATCGATCACCAGCTGCACCAGTTCCACCTGCACCAGGAGCACAGATGTGGTGACTGAGGGACTGTCCTGGGAGCCACATCACTTGGCCACTCCTGCTGCATGCAGGGTAGTCACTGCCACTCCCAGCACCCACCCGCTGGCCCCAGCACACGGCCCTGGGGCTGCATGGGCACTGTGGGCCCATTATGCAGGCACATTCCAGAACCTCCCTCCCCAGCTCTGTCCGGCACCCACCTCTGACTTCCCCAGACGATCCAGGTTGGAGATGTCAAAGACGCCGCCTTTGGCTGCAGTGTCCACACCACCCGTCCCACGCTTCTGTAGCCGGAGGTTCTCTAGGATCTTAGGGAAGCGGCTGTCCTGGTGCCCAGAGAAAGTGTCAGTGCTCAGCAGGACCAACAACAAGGGAGTCAGGGCTCTGTAGCCAAACGCTCCCTGGTGCAGGCCCCTGCTGCTCGCAGGGTCCTGTCAGTGGGTCACCAGCCCTACCCAGGGTCCTGCCATAAGCAGACCCAGGCTGACACCTGGGACCCAGGCCTCTCTGGCCAGGAATGCAGGCAGGGGCTGGACCCTGTGCCTCCTAGGGGAACCTGAACATGGTCCAGGGCTGGGTCCCGTGTTGTCCTGCACCTTCGTTGCTGAGCTCCCCACAGTCCTAGCCTGGCTCACCACAACACTGGCCATGGTAATACCTTGCTGAGCAGTGGCAGCTTGATGTGGACGCCTGCTCGCAGCCCTGTGCCCAGGTTAGAGGGGCAGGTCAGGATGTAACCCAGCCGCTCATTCCACATGAACTCCCAGCCTCGCTCCTGGATTAGCCGCTCCACCTGAGTTAGAGGCACAAGCAGTTGTTCAGCCCTGGGCGAGGAGCACGCAGCAGAGGGCCAGCACCACAGGAGCCCTGCCTGCCCCTCTTTGCCTGTTTATGGGGCTGGCACAGCAGAAGCTGTTGAACACTCACCTCCTTTAGGCCGCGGCAGAACCGCTCAAAAACGCGCTTCATGTTGCCCCCCTTCTCCATGGAGATGACACGTGTGTGGTCCTCCTCATTGATCCAGATCAAGAAGGTCTTCTGGTGGTTGTGCCTAAGGACAGAGCAGTGTTTGGCTGTGCTGCCAGCTTGCAGAGACCCTCTGCCCACTCAGCTGTGCCCCTTCTATCCCTGCCACCGTGCTACCAGTGCTGCCCTTGGTTCCCATGTGCTGACTGCACCAGCACAGGGGATGCTCCTGGACATGGGCCAGTGCCTATCCACATGTATCACTGCTGGCTATGGGAGCTGTCTCCAGTGCCTTGGGCACAGGCAGGTGCCAGCATGGTGGTGACCCAGCTTGGAATGGGGGTGGGAGCATGGCTCCTGCACCATGCAGGCAGTGGGAGGGGGCTTGTGAGGCATGGAGTGTGCACTGGAGGGCTGGGTTAGGTGCAGCTGGAGCTGGGGACCGTGTGTGCCCTGGAGATGTTTTCCATGTAAAGGCACAGCGTCAGTGTGGGTGGCATGGGCGGACACGTGTGCCGGCTGTTGCTCTGCAGGAGTGTGGGATGTTGCATGGCTGTGCAAAGATGCTGGGAGGGAGCAGTGAGATGTGACTGTGGCAGGGTAGATTTGGTGTCACGTAGAGTGTGCAGAAGCCAGGAGGAGTGCTGGGGATTGCCCAGGGAGCAGAAGGCAAGTAGAGGTTTTTGGCAGCCTTAGAGTGCAAGGTGCTGCAGGATGGTGAGAGCAGGCAGGATTGACAGCTGGTACTGGCTCCACAGTCCCTCTTGCCAGTGCTGTGCTGTGTTTGCGTAGGGAACAGTAGACTGCTGACAGTGATGCACAAGGAGCTCCCAGGTGAGGCCACAGAACCCATGGTGAGCACAGCCCAGGGGCACTGGTGCCACGTGCTAGGGTCTGTGGCGCGGCAAACACGGGAAATGTGGGTGGCAGGGCTGAGATGGATGGAGCAGTACGTCCCCCCCATTTCTGCCCTGCTGCCCAGTGCCAGGGCAGAACCTCACCAGATCCCTCGTGCGTCAGGCCAGTCCCGAGCCATTCCTGCTGCTGTCAGGAGCGGGGACACCGGCTTGTCAAAGAGGAAGTGGTCCTGGAGGGAGGCAGAGTTCACGGGCTCACCCAGGCTGCATGGCTGGAGCCAGGGCACCCTCACTCATTCCAGTACTCCCTGTCTCACTGGTCCCACCTGCCATGCAGGAGATTCACCTCGGCTCTCCCAGGCAGGGCATCCCTTGCCTTCCTGGCCTGGGAGGCAGAAGGTTGCTGGTGCACAACACACCCTGTGCTAGGAGCTGGTGGGGCACCAGCTGAGTGCAACA